ACAAATCGCAAGTTAAATAAATATGTGGATATAATGGAAATCAATTATTGTGAATGCGAGAACCCCAGGGCAATACTAATTCCTGGTGTAGATATTATGTGCGATACGGTAAGTAATGTAATCTTGTTTAACAGTACGGTAACAGTACGACTGGTTAATTGAGTTTGGATTATCATTTTTAAGACATTCCTCGCGAGGGCCAACACTAGAACCACATGTTATGGAACCGCTTCGCCACTTGTAACGCGCCTGCTCGACCAGGGGCGGTGTGTAATCTTCGGTTTTTACTTCGCTCAACGCTTCATACCTCGTGCTTCGACCGATCTTCTTCGAAGTTCGGTCCTCGTCTTCGTACGCAGCCCTTGTTATCCGGATTCCCCAGGGGAGGGACGGATAAATCCTTGCGGAAATAATCCGGGGAATCCGGGGATCGAACCCACGACCTTTGAGTTAAGAAACCGATGCTCTACCACCTGAGCTATTCCCCCCCCTGTAACAGTACGACTGGTATACAGTACCTGTAGTGTAAAAAAGGTTTGACTTTGTGAGAACATTTGTAGTGAGTGATACATTTACAAGCATAGCCATCGCATTCGCGCAACTCGATTCAGAACCAAGAGATCTGCGAAATCCCCACGAGGTCAAGAGACCTACTAGTACAGTACTAGTACCTTGTAATATGGGGAAGAGCACTCCGGAGTACTTCCTATCATGCTCGATGGACAAAGTCTGGGACAGCTCGAATTCCACTATCACCATTGAGTTCTGGTTCTCTTTTAACTGTAAAGGGAAATGATAAGTCAGCTTAGCGAAAAGTTGCGATGACATAATTACTCAGTTTGTTGCCTCAGGCTATGATTCTGACCTGCTGTCGAACAGTGCCACAGGAATTTACAGGAATTCATTTTTGTGTCCAAAAACCATAAAATGACCTGTGACATGCCATAAAAAAAAGCTTCACGTAACCAGATGCGCTTACAAAAGGATTAATTGAGTTTGGATTATCATTTTTAAGACATTCCTCCGCGAAGGCCGACACTAGAACCACATGTTATGGAACCGCTTCGCCAATTGTAACGCGCCTGCTCAACCAGGGGCGGTGTGTAATCTTCGGTTTTTACTTCGCTCAACGCTTCATGCTTCGACCGATCTTCTTCGAAGTTCGGTCCTCGTCTTCGTACGCAGCCCTTGTTATCCGGATTCCCCAGGGGAGGGACGGATAAATCCTTGCGGAAATAATCTGGGGAATCCGGGGATCGAACACACGACCTTTTGAGTTAAGAAACCGATGCTCTACCACCTGAGCTATTCCCCCCCCCTCTGCGCTTACAAAAGGAATTCACGACGAAACCAATCCTACATACCAAAGTTGCACCCAGAAGTACTTCACCGTTCCAGACACAAATACCAAGGATTCGTCAGTTTTCAATTCCACGTCGCCCCGATGAAAGTATAGTTCGCCGCGCTCTTCGCTGTGCTAGCCACCGCCGCCGCTTCCTTGACCCACAAAGAGATCAACGACAGAAAGATCGACCCCCCCAAGCAACTCCAAGACCGCCGGTGCTCATTCGTAAAACCAGTCACAAATCTCGCCGCGAAATTTCATTGGCTTTCCAGATTTCGCAGCAAGCACGAAATAAAAAGAAAAAGAACGTAGCCAATCAGCGAAAAGCATTTTTAGATTTACTTCGAAGTATCAATGAATGTGATTCGTGATCGGTTGGTCGGCGTGATTCGCTTGAACTGGGTCGGGAAATTCGTACCAAATCAATAATATTTGGATTCCTTTCCAATATCAACACGGCAACCTCGTACGCGTTGGTGGCGGGGGTCGTTTTTCGTTCGTTTCATGATTTGCTTGATGACTTTGCTCTGCTCGTGTCATTCAGGCAATGCGTGTCGTCAAAATGGTGGGAGCAGACGAAGGGGTGGTTTTGGTTGTACTGTTCGTTGGGGGAGGAGAGGGTCGGACGGAGGTCGTGAGAGTCAAAGTGACTTGCGGAGTAGATGTGGGGATGGGGAGATTATTGAAACGTGACTTCCTTGGTCAACTATGTAATTATCTCTCGATAGATGTTTGCCTCCGTGGACACGAATCCCAGATGCAGGGGTGGCAAAGTCGATGGTCAACGTCGGCATTTGATTCGTGCGGTAATGGTAGACGTCAAAGTAGCCGTACATAGTAGGCCACAGACAACCCCGCAGACGTTTGAGGCCGACTCCTAATGATCACCTCGATGCTGTTGTGGAGAGTTTGAACTTTGACACCTTAGGGATGAAACTAACTTTCGCTTTATAGTATATTAAATCTAAGCCTTACACTATTTTGTGGAATAAACACCTATTTCCCACTCATAATTGACGAGCCTACTTTTGATTTCTTGGGGAAGAGCAGGCGCGCGGTGGTGACCAATGACGCACGAGACGTTTGACTTGTGTTGGACGTGCGTTTCTTGCTCTTCTTGCTCCGACTCTTGTTGAACTTCATCACGCTAAACTTGAAAATCGATTGGTATTCTTCCTTGGACACGGTCTGGACCTTTTGGCACACAAGCACGTAGTACGCCGTAAGGATCAGGATAAACCCGATCGTCGACACAATCGCAATCCCCTTGTCCATTTGGAACCCCCCCGCAATCGACACGATCACGCAAAAGAACACAAGGAACACATAGTACGCCCCCACAAGCCCGTACGGACTTTTGTATCCCTTGGTCTCGATATTGTACGACGTGCGCAGCATGACAAAGCCCATGGTTTGGCCCATATAACTCATCATCCCCGCAACAATCGAGATATTTTGCAGCGTCATTTTGAACATGGGGCTGTAGAACGACACGAAGCAGAGACAGTACCCGAAGGCGGACGCGACGATCATGGCGCGGCGGGTGGTCTGCTGCCCCCGGAGCCCCAGCCACGCCGGCAGAAGGTTCGAGTCGGCCATCGCCTGCGTCAGTCTCGCGTACGGAATCGAGAACCCCACGGCAGTACCGATTTGCGCTGGAATCATGATCCATTCTGCAACTCTAGACGTGAAGCCCATGCCCAGGTACAAGCCGCGGTTGAGGCAGAACTCGTCGGTGGCGATGATTTCCAGGCCGGGGGGGAGCGACGCCAGCACGAGCACCATAGCTACGTTGGACACGAACAGCGTCCACACGGCCGCCACGGTTCCCTTGGGCACGGCCACGGCTGGATCTTTGACAAACCCCGTGACTACCGTGAGGCTTTCGACCCCTGCAAAGCCCACGGTTGTGGACGGCAAGATGCCAAAGAACGCCGTCGATATCGTGCCAGTCGCCCACGTCGTATCGTCGTTGTAAAAGTTGTGCAGCACCGCGTTCTTCTTAAAGTCCACGTACGGCAGCGACCCAAAGATAAACAAAATGCCGGGTAGGAGGCTCGCCGCGAGCAGCACGAGCATGCATCGCCACATGTACTTGCCGCGGGACTCGACGAACGAGATGCATATCGCGTAGAAGAGCAGCCATACCAACGGTTGGTACTGACTGTTCATCTTGAGGTGTGTTGTGACAAAGTCCGTCACGTACAGCACCGCCACGGACGCGTACGATGTGTACTCGAGCACTTCCAAGCAGCTGAGGATGTAGCCCGGGTAAAACCCCAGCACCGCGCGCGCCAACCCGTACGACCCCCCCGGCACCTTGCCGCCGACTTCGGAAATGCACGACACGTAAATGATGTACGCCACCCCCATGAGCAGTTGCGTTATAAAATAGGGCAAAAACCCGAATTTGAACGACTCGTTCCACCCGTAGAACTGGCCGCCAATGACCGAAATGACCCCCAATGCCCACACGTGGATGGCTGTGGCTTTGTCGCTCGGGTCCACCACCACTTGCTTGACATCGACGATTTGGCAGCCGTTTTTCGGAGCCTCTGGCCCTGCCGACGCTGGGGCGATGGGGCTGACTGATGTGGCACTTTGGACGAAACTGGGACCTTTGATGGGGGCTACGGCGGCTTTAACCTTGCCCATGGCGATACGCTGCGTGATGGGGTGTCGTTGTGCGCTGGTTGCAAGTATGTTGGGGAATGAAACGAATAGTTAAAATTAGATCGGGGTTGGTATGTTGAAACGGACGCTGCTGTCACACGCCCAACTCGATCTGATGTGATCGTATTTGGCTAGTCAATGCAACATTGTCGCAATGTTGATTCTGAAGAGCTTCCTGTTGCAGGGGCGTCTGCCCTGATATCACTTGTAGTAAAGGTAATACCTTTGGGTTTCTCATTGTAGTACCAGGAGGATTAAGTACGATGTTCAAAAGTAAGTATATTCAACGAAGTAAACATCACGTCACTTTCCATTGGTCGGCTGTAGTCAATGTCCCAGAAAGTCATTGCATTGACAGTGACGACTTTCACCCTTGCGGCGAAACGAGTTTTACAGTTAATAAATGTACAACACATCTCTCTAAAAATACGATTATCACCCAGACATTTTCATCAAACTCACTTTGACAACACATCCTAACGTTATGGCGATATTGTATGTATGTATTTTATTCAACGAACAATTCAAATAAAAGATTATATATATATATATATACGAATAGAGTAGGGTGCGCTTGAAGGTGTACTGTGTCCATGTAGAGTACACCTACAGTACAAACAGTACACATTCACGTTACGTTGAGTGTTTGGTCTCTTTAAATCAATTATCTATGCATTCTGACAAGTTAATGCATAGGAAATGAGAAAGATGCTCATGAGGGCTGGTCGCGAAGCCATAAAACGCGCGTTATGTTCGAACGCTTCAAACGTAAAACGTCGGGGGTTAGCGCGCATAATGTCATGAGTTGGAACGTCCAGCAGTCAGGTTTGTCAATGCGTCCAATACTTGCACTTTACTACTCATGGCGCGCTCGTGCCATGCAACACCACGTGTTCATCCATCAAAATTTCAAGTGACCCTGATGGCAATTGGGGTCAAAGATGTCTCCTTTGCTCCATGGTTGTTTGCCATTATGGTTAGCCTTGATAGCTTGGTTGCCATGTTGACTACTAATATTCCTGGTAGTATAAATGCACTTAATTGTATATATATATTTGTATACTTCATGTATGAGTATATATTTGAGAATATTATATAAAATATATATGTAGTGTGAAGTTGTGTAGAGTTTTACAGAACAAAAATAGTACGTAACCTTCGTAGTGTGAATACAGTACGTAATGCATGCCGGCGCACGCTAGTATAGAGCCCCTTTATGATACTGTATGTATGTTTGCAATTCAAATTTTGCAGCCATAGAGCAACCCCACCTGCGGAATTTTATCGAATGAGATTTATACGAATAACAGCGAGACTTATTGGAGTTCCAGGGATAAATCTCAATTTCCCCACCCATCAGATTTATTCCCGATTTACACACAGATCGCCGCACTCTGACTACACGTAGCTGCTAGTCAGAGTGCGGCACGAATGAAGATGACTCAAGAAATCTATCATGTCGATGCGCATGCCGCAGGTTGACGCCGTAATTAAATCACTCGTCTGAAGTGCAGGACACACCCTTGAGCTTGTCATATTATCACAACATGCGTATTCTCAAACCATGAGCAAACTGTGTCGTGAGCTCTATCCAAAACAATATACGTAGTTACTCACTGTTTCGTTCACCCAGCTGATGCCACCATCACCACCCTCAGAATCGGGGCGACATGGTTGTTTATGGGATGTTGAGGGCTGTGGCGGCGGCGTCAGCCGGGTGGAAACATTGGCCATTTGACGTACAGGCTTGACTGTAGGGCTGTGACTGTCGGTGGTCGTTCAGAGGTCCATTAAGCATCGATACATACGCACAGTTCACTGACGACGCCGTTGCCTCACTTGGTCGCAGCTCCGCCGCGTCGACATTGCGCTTGGAGCTCAATAAAATGGTATTTTTATGTGTGTATTGTGTCATGGGGCTTCATTTTACTATGCTAAAAATTGGTTTAGAGTATTAATTTTGATATTGCATAAATCTGATGGATAAATCGAGATGGAAAAGTCCTATTATAGAACTTTTCGGGGAGAGAGATTTATTAGTCAGACCCCTATGAAATGTACCGGTGGAGCAATAAGTCCGTGGTGGTCCTATCGAAGGGTTATCCGTATAAATCTGAGCTGTAATTCCGACCGTGGAGTTGCTCTCATTTCTGCGTCGCGGTAGTTGTTTGCCTTGCAACGTTTTACAATAGACCATTACGAATGTAGTTCTGCAAATGTAGAGGGGCGAGGGTTGTCGTGGATTCAGGGGCAATTGGACTTGGGGTCTTTGGGGGCGCCGTAGTGTCTGTCGTGCGGGACGAAGTTGAAGCCTTGGTGATAGAGGCAGACTTGGTTGTAGGGCTATTGGTCGTGGCCCTCGAGGCCGTACATAGAGGGAACGGTCGAAGTGGTTCTAGTAGTATGTAGGGGCTTTGGTGATAAGGGCAAGGGTCCTGGTTGGCGTAATTGTGGGAGCGTTGGCAGAGGGTTCAGTAGGAGTGGTTTTCCGGGGCGCAATGGTAGAAATGGAGTAAGTTAAAATAATGGTAGTAGAGTTGGTGCAGTTGTTCCAGCCAGCAAACGGCTACGAAGTTATCCTATGTACATTGTATTTGACAAAATTATTGCTTGAAACGAGCCAGAGTTTTGGCGGATTCATTCGATACATTACGCAAGTCTAAAACATGCGCCGATGACTGCTCGTGTTTCCTATTTAAATTGATATCCTTTGAGCCTCAACGAATGAGCTGAATCTTGCGGTTATTTTGATATTAGTGTATCACCTCAAATTAGAGCTCTTTCGTATGTGTTGTAGTCAACGAGAAATCGACGAACAAAGCAAGCAAATAACGACGCTGATGACTGGCGCCCCACGTCATGGGTGAATACTAGTAAGATCACTTTGCGGACACCGCTTGGACAATTTCAGTAGGCGATATTGTTATGTCTATTCTAAACTGAAGCGACATGGAGAATGAATGAATCGAAACAACCAATGTGCAGAAGAATCGGCAGAAGTACTATCTAACTAGTATGATACTACGTAGTACTTGGTACCATTAGTGTACAGTATTAGTGTGATTCCAATCACCACCGAACAACTTTTTATATACAAAAATTCAGTACAAAGATCCCATCAATAGATTTGGCGAGTCAGCACACAAGTCCAAATTTTGGATAAAAGGACAATACTGTAGTTCACGTTTGTATTAGACTTAAAAGGGGGCCAAACAATCGATGAATTGGCTGAAATTGTCAGTGCGCTTTGATTGGCTAGGTCATTCTTAACTATAAATATATAACGTTACATTTGTCAAGTACCGTTACTTTCGGGAGTCCACACAATACGCACGCTGCAAATACTTGTTCGTATCAAAGCAAGTGACGCTATCTACCTCCAGACTTTGTCGATGATTCGAATTTGCTTCTGTGGGCAATGACAATCTTGGCCGCGTGAATCATGGACGTTCGAGACACTTGGCTCGTGCCAGACGATCGCCTTTTGGTTTTCTTGGACCGGTTCTTGTTGAATTTCATCACGCTGAACTTGAAAATAGACGTGTACTCTTCCTTAGACACTGTTTGCGACTTTTGACACCCCAGCACGTAGTACAGCGTAAGCACTACGACAAAGCCAAACGTGGACGCTACCGCGATGCAGCTGTCTCCCTGGAACCCCCCCGCAATGGACACAAACAGGCACAAGAACACGACCCAGACATAATACGCCCCCACGAGGCCATACGGGCTCGTGTACCCC